CACGGGGGGGGGGGGGACTTTTTGCAGAGGGGGCGTTGCACCCTGCCCCCCCCCCTACCCAGTCATGGGTATGATCAGCCAGTAAATGTACACAAAATTATTCAACTGTAAAAGGAAAAACAAACTTACCCAATCACAAGTGGTAATTGAAGATCGTCAATATACTGAAAACCTTTTCTTGAAGACATAAAACATCAACCTAAAACAAAATCAAAATGTTAAGCATTAACTGGGTTAGGCTAGCAATAAAATCAGTGGCGAGCCCACAAAATGGGCGGGGAGGGTTTTTTTAATGATTTCAGAACGTATGTAGGCCTACTTTTCATTTCAAGTTAGCCATAGCTCCACGAGTCAACCCCCACCCTAGCTACAATATGTATCGTTAAACTGTGGCTGGAGTAAGGCGGACGACATCGGTAGAGGAACCATTTCTACCCCTACCGTTTTTTGATCGATGCTAAAATGCCTATGTGTCTGTACCAAATTGGTATTTCGCCGGGAACTATTAAAAATCCTGACGCGACCATTGAACATGTTATCCCCAAGATTCTGTATTTATTGTGCTCTTCCTGTGCGAAGAAAAAAAAATCGCCCATTTTTTGGAACTACAGCCATAAAAATAAATTTTTTAGGTCATTGCACTTACAGCTGGCAAAGAACGACATCTAGTCCTTCGGATGGGACGTAAAACAGAGGTCTCTCGTACACGTTGGTATGTACATAAAGAACCTCGGTCACTTGGAATTGAATTGCTGTCCGGAAATACATCACTGGTACCACACTGTACATATATCGTATGTCCGTCTTCATTATCCCTGTTGGTGACGAAAAGTAGGATGTTAAACCCCATTTCATCCAGGGCTCCTGTGACATACTCAGTCATTTGCCCCATGCAAGATTAATCGGGTCCTAATCGTACAACTTCATTTTCTGATAATTCATTGATAACAAATTAATAAACATACCCTTAGACATTTATCTCACTTCACCGCCAACTATTCACCTTCTAACAGTTTTATAACTGCATCGACTCTGCGTAGAGCACGTGTTTTTCCCATACTAATCAGCTGCACTCGATAGTCTATGTCGCCAAGACGTCCAGCAGCGCTATCCAAGACGTTACAGCCACACGCTTTATATTCAATCTTATTCATTAGACCAATGAGCATTGTATTTATCCCAAAATTGCAAAAATGAAATATATATATAAAAATGTACGTATTATTGAAGGGCGAGTTCCTGGGGGGGGGGGGGGGCTGAATGGTTAGCGCGTGCGCGTTGTATAACATGGTCTGTCATTTAGTTAACTGGCGTGGTTTCGATTAGCCGGTTGTATGTGACAAGCAGTAGGGTCGCCTGTCCAAACTCGTGGGTTTTCTCCGGGTCTTCCGTTTTCACCCTACTGCTAAAGATCCCTATACGCGCAAGCGAATTATTGAAACAAAGTGAACCACGTGCTAGTCATGAAATGACCTGGTTTGTGTCGAGTGGAAGTTAAACCCCTACTGATGCTGGCAGGGAAAACCTGTGTCATAATATTAATTCGCAATACCCCCCGCCCTCCCCCTTGACTTTGGATACCTTTTATTTTCCTTCTTAGGTTTCAGACTTAGACTTCCACAACTTTTGATTTGCATACCCTTTCTATTGGACCATCGTGTTATTAACCATATTAACTAATTGTATTTTAACTACGTATTTCCAAATAAGGATAAATCTGAGATAACTTTTTGATCAATTACAACTTAAAAATCTACAATTTTTTCTTCGTAATTCAAACCGTTACATAATTCGTGATTGCAATTTTAAACAAAGTATTTATATTTTTCTCAAATAATTTCTTATGGGAGATGAATATAATATATAAGCACAAGCATCAGTGTTTTTTCTTATAGTAATCAATAAATATTTCCACGATTTAGAGAGTTGTATAATTAATTATGGATGTTACAATTAATCGTGGAAATATTTATTGATTAGTGTCAGAGTAAAAATATTGACGTATGTATATGTAATGGCTTTATAATTATGTTTTAATATTTTTTGTACTTATATGTTTTAATATTTTTTTGTAATTATATGTTTTAATAATTTTTATAATTAAATGTTTTGCTATATTCAAAAAAGGGTGATCGTGTTCAAAAAGTTTCATTCATTTTGGCTACCCCTGTTTTATGGGGGGGGGGGAGAGAGAGAGAGAGAGATGCAAACTGGGTCATTTCGGGACTAACATGTAGTAAATCAGCGGAAGGAAGCAAGCAGGGACACGGAGAAAATCCACGAGAATAGGGAGGCGATTTTTCCTGGTCACGAAACCACGCCACAGACTCTAAGCTCTATAAGAGAATCGTACGTGTTTTTGGTTGTTTTCGGGGGTTTTTTTACCTTTCAACCACCACCCATCCCCTTCAGCCACCACCTCCGTCTGACTTGAATAGGCCAAATGTCCCATTAAATATATAATACTAGAAGAATGTCCGGCTTCGCTCGGGGGTCATAACCCCGAAACCGGAAGTGGTAGACTAACGCCACCTGGCCTATGTAACTCCCCGGTCCGAGCTACCCCTATACCCCAAATTTCAGACTCGGGGCAGACCTAGTGTAGCCGCCAACCCCGAACAGACAGACAAGCAGACAGACAGACAGACAAACGACAGTCACAAATATAGATAGATAGATAGATAGATAGATAGATATTTGTAACGAGGTATATATTAAAAACTTCATTATTTGTGACGAAGTATATATAATTTTTCATTATTTGTGACGAAGTATATATAATTTTTCATTATTTGTGACGAATTATATATTAATATCTTCAATATTTATGACGAAATATATATCAATATCTTCATGATTTGTGACGAAGTATATATTAATAGAGACTTTTGGCAAGCGGATTTTTCCCATCCGTATCCCGTATCCATATCGTATACGTGATACGTTGCGTCAATGTAGTTTTAGAGTTTTGGCAGATTTTAGCAATTTTTGGTTTCACTAGTGTATTATTTCAGAGAGTTTAGCCCGAAGATCAATCAGTATGCAGACAGGCGGGAAAAATATGAAAATTCCGAGAAAAACCCATCAAAAATAATGATTAAATTCCAGTCGTTATCACTGTTAAAATCACATCAAATATACACCTTCGTGTTCTGGGATACACACAGATTCATAAAAACGCTATGATGCAACATTTCAGCGTCTAAAAGTAGCAAAAAAGACGGTAAAAAGACGACAGTGTTATACGGACCATTTCGTATGAAAGCCGTTCCATACGTGCTGTCGTATCCGTGTGCCGTATCACGTATGAGAAATACACAGACATTGATGACGTCACACGCAAAATCCATACGGATACGCGATACGGACCAGGAAATTACGCTTGCCAAAAGTCTCTAATATCTTCATGATTTGTGACGAATTATATATTCATAAGCTATTTAAATTGATATTTAAGATATATATAACAAAGCCATATATTATACAAGAAAATATATGATATAGAGAAAACCATGCTAGTTTCAATTGATGCAGGACGGGGGGGGGGGGCACAAGGACAGCTGTCTAGTCGTTCGGGTGGGACGAAAAATCGAGGTCCCGTGTACGCATTGGTGTGCACGTAAAAGATCCCTTGACAGTTGGAATTCGATATAAGAGTCGGTCGTAGTGCCGCTGTCCGGGCAAAATTTCCCTCATAACACACGGTATGGCGTAAGCTCGTCTTCATTAGCCCAGTTCGGAGCAGAACAGTGTGAAGTTAAACCCCACTTCATTTCGGCTAGATTCATATGCGGATACACAGGGATAGTTTTTATTATTATTATTTTTTGGAATTGGATGGTTTGGTTGTGTTTTTTTTTTTTGGGGGGGGGGGAGGGGGGGGGGAGTCTTCGTTATAGGTTTAACCATTAACACTGGGATTAACGCTGTTTACAATATTGTCGTTATATTAATTGTCTTTGTCAAACTTCTTTTCTGAATTATGTAGGCCTATAATCGTTTTTTTTTTAATTATTTGTTTGTTTATCGATCTTCGGGGTTCTTATAATATGTGCATTTGTCAATAAATAAATAATTAATAGGTGGCAAATCACTAGCAATGGTAAGGAACGAAAAGTATGCCTCACTACGGTCGACACCCATGTTGCCCCCCCCCCCCATTCTAAAAATCCTGGATCCGCCCCTGCCCCCCCCCCCATCTACAAATCCTGAATCCCTCCTCGAAACTCCATTAGACTTCCCATTATGTAAATCCGAGGTCTTGATGGAAAATTCGATTGGCGTTATATATGGCAACGACAATTTTTGCGAAAATATTCAACAGATTCTTTCGGCAACAATTTCTGTTAAGGTGTTTGGGGGGGGGGGGGCTTTTGCGCATGTGAAAACAAGCCTGTTTTAGGCGCCATTGCAAATATTCAGCAAATGTGAACAACCCAGGAGTTCTGCTTAAAATGTTAAAAAGAAAGGTAGGTGGCACAGTATGCTGTTTAAACACAAATTATTTCCATGCAGTAGCCTTCATATGACCGAAAGATTGTGTTGACGAGACATTTCCAGCGGTTTCGGTTTTAGGCTGAACATCATATCATGAACATTGTGAATTTGTTCAGGAAGTCGAAGAAAGACATTTTGGAAGACATCCCTGCTAATTAATTTAAATAATTAAATAAATGCATGATTTATTTATTTAGATTTTAGCTCTGTGGTGTAGACGAAATATTAAAGTGTTATTTTTTATTTTTAAATAACTCGTATTAGGTAACAGTAATATTTACACCAGTGTAACCTTTTTGTAATACATGATTTACGTTTATTTCGGCGAGTTGTAACTCGATGAATATCGAAGAATTCATCGATGGTTGTTCAACCGTACTCATAATTTGAGTTTGGTTGAACGAGGCTATTTCGACTAGATTATCAAGACTTATGCAGGTTGTCAAATATTAAAATAAGTTTTTGATCGAGACTACCAAAATAATAACCTCGTTTTCAAAAAGGAAGTAGATGTGATAAAAACGTCAAAATTAAAGAGGGAAGAAAATAATGAAAAAGATCCACGAATAACAGTATGAATTTTATTCTTTTTTACCTAAAATTGACCTGTCACAAATGAAAAACTGGGCATCGATTGCCGCAGTATTCCTGCCACAAGGAATAACACTGAAAGTGTCACGGTCTGGGACCGTTGCTTGTGGAGCACATCAGTTCACTCAGTGTCATTATAATGTAAACAGGTTGTTAATTTGTGATGTAAATGTAAAAAAAATAATCGAAGGCTGTCAATTTAATTAACAAAACCGAAATTTATATTACATCTCGTCTAATAAATAACTTAAAGGACAAAATTGGTGTCAGTCATAATTACATGTGTGATAGAACTGGTTAAATACATTCCAAATATAATTTTAACACAGAGATCATTGCTACGGGAGATGTGTATTTATGAACCATTTTTTTGAATTGTCAGATATCCTCTCACCGTCTCATATAATAGATTTTCATCGTCAACTGAATTATCAGTGAAATTAAATTTGATCGCTTATCTGTTATCGCTTGTTGCTTCAATCAGTTATATAGTAGGATAACTCGTATTGTCATGTTTGTCGTCACTTCCCGTTTCTTCACGTGCTTGTTACACATCTCCCATAGCAATGATCTCTGTGTTAAAGTTATATTTGGGATGTATTTAACCAGTTCTATCACATAAGTAATTATGACTGACACCAATTTTGTCCTTTAAGTTATTTATTAGACGAGATGTAATATAAATTTCGGTTTTGTTAATTAAATTGACAGCCTTCGATTATTTATGATTTACTAAAGTAGGGGTAAACACAGCGAATAATTTATCTTTATTACTATTACATCAACTATTTATTTAAAAAAAACCCCACATATTATATCTATATTGTTAATTTGAAATTAGACAGCATTCATTATGTCTTAAACTTAAAAATTGTATAATAAAAAGGATACATGGACATACCAGTATTGCAGGTTCTGTAATCTGTATGCTGCCATCTTACACAACCCTCACACAGTATAGCCTCCTGTCTAGAACTGACTCACAGACTATTCATTTTGACAGTACTCAAATAAAATGTAATAGTTTTTTCTGTGATATGCTTCATCAATTTCATTAGCTTACATTGTACATGGTTGTAGAAGATTGGTCAGTTCAGTACTGAGTACTACATGTACTGAGATCACTTTAATTAAAGTAATAACAACTTTTGGTCTTTTGTTAATTGATATTCTTTGATGTGGCTTCCTCAAAGGTATTATACATAACACATAGTTATTTCAAAGAAAATAATTAAACCAAACACAATGATTAATTTATTAAAACAACACTCTATTATTTTTAAAAACATAATGATCAGAGTTGTCTTTTAAAGATACATTAGTTAAGAGTTTAATAAAGAGTTGGCCGTACTTGCTTTAATAACAATCTGTTTCACAGAGGATTACGAAAGTCTTCTAATATCTCTGTAAAAGATGACTACCTTTACCACGTGACGTCTCATCACGCGGCGTCAATCATTGGCTCAATGGCGCGTGCATTGTTTACATAAGAGTAAAGACGTTCTAGTTTGGGCAGAATGGAGTCTTTTTACTCATTTAAATATCCATTTGCACAAAATAGGAAATATTTTTTACCAACAAATACGTAGAACGCAATTATTTATTTTTCTACAATGTAATACATAAAAACCATGTTTTAGAATTTAATTTGTCGAAGGAAAAAAGTTAATATTTGTGACTCATTAATAAGTCGCTTCTATGTCATCCTTATCAGTGATTGTAGCGGCCTAGCGAAAATTCACTACTGATCAGTGTCATTTAATAATTCAAAATAGATAAGAAAAGAAAACATTGAAAATTTCAGTCAAATTACTTTATTCTGGACTGAGTTGGAAGTTTGGACTAACTAGAAATAGGCATCAGCTGTGTCCGTACCGTCTTTGAGAATTGCCGATCGTTTGATTGACAGACGATAACTCCACCTACATATTCTCGATTATTAAGTAACATTCTCAATGGCTTTGGTACCCTCGCTTGGTAGTTTCCGGTAGTGACGTCAGTGATGGTAAACGTTAGCTTGGTCGACCGTTTCTTTATTTAATTTTAAATGGACGACTGTTTAAATCCAAGCTGTATCCAAGCCATCTGAGGGTCTACAGAGTTGATTTTGAGCTTGTCATGTAATAATCGTTCGGGTGGGACTAAACAGCGAGGTCCCGTGTATACAATGGTGTGCACATAAAAGAACCCATGACAGGTTAAATTCGATGTAAGAGTAGGCTGTAGTGCTGCTGTATGCAAAATGTTCCTCATAGGCACACTAAATTGCGTATGCCCGTAATGATTAGCCCAATCAGAGCAGAACGCTCTGACGTTAAACCCATTTTTATTTCATTTACATTTCAAGGGAAAATCAAACGCTATTTTTATGATAATCAAAAACAAGAATAAACTCTGTATACACTATGCACACATCTTGCCAAAACTACAAACAGTCGTAACTTGATTCAGAATGAAGTAATTTGAATGAAATTTTCAATATTTTCATTTTACATTATCTATATTTTGAGCTGTTATAGCAAGAATAGTCAGTTCTTTATCTTAATCTTACATAATGTAATGTTAAAGGGCAGGGTTGACAGAGCAGAGATGTATACATAACAATAGATCACCAAATCCAACTTTTGTTTAGAAAACAACTATTACAGATAATCTGACATTAATTTTTCTTGTCATTCTGTTAACTCAAAGAATTATGCTGTCAAAAATAGAGATGACGTTGAAATGAAATGAAATGGGGTTGAACGTCCCAGTCCTACTGCTTATGGAGACAGAGGGAGATGAGGTTAAAAGACCCAGTGTTTTGAGTGTTGCCAATGAAAAATTTGATAAAAAAAATTGTTTTGTATAAATATTTCTAATACTAATTGTTGATATTTATTTACAGGTGAAATGGGGCTGATTATTGCAGATTGTATCCAAAAATACTCAACATATATGTACCATTAGACTTATGGTAACAGATTATTTAAGGGACAAAGCATGAATGAAGTCATGGAAAAAATCTCTGATGAAACCACCAAACTGAATCTTGTAAAGAAAGATCTGAACAATGGTAACAGTTCAGAAATCGAGAAACATTCTGAACCGGCCATTGATCTGTTCCTGGAGAATAATTTGAATAGCCAAGAACGTGAAGCTTTTCTTCAGGAGCAAATACCAGGAACTTCAGAAGAACAAGCCAGCACATCGGCAAGCGACCAGGTTGAAAGAAGGTTAGGCCCTGTGTCACCTAGAAAACGGAAGACTCAAACAGCTGTAGTGAGTGAAGCCTTCCATTTCCTGCGCTGTGAGGATGATGCAGAAAAGAATGTAGAATTGGTTCGTATTCCTCCAGAGGGATGCGAGTCGGTAGAAAATGTAGCGCAAATTGTCTCAAATCACACCAGTGATGCATTAAATAATTCTGTAATATACCATTCACATTCATATCAAGAAATGGGATCAATCACAGTTGATAACTTGGTTTGTTATGATGACGATGTAGTGAACTGTTCTAGAAGTAGCATTGAAATAGATGGCTGTGAATCAGAATCTGATGTTCCAATGCCGAAGAGTGCTTCCGTTACTACCGATTTAAATAGTACTGCTAAGAATATTACTACTGATACGGATAGTACTGCTAAAAACATTACTACAATATCTGTTTCGAATTTTAAAATAGGTAACACTAAAAATGTTGATTTGGAAAAGACAGACAGCAAAGAAAGACAAAATCTTGAGGGTTCTGAATTCAATTCTGGTACTTTAGCCTACACTAAAAATGTTGATTTGAAAAAGACCGGCAGCAAAGAGACCAAGAGACAAAATCTTGATGGTTGTGAATTCAATTCTGATAACTCAGCATCTGGCAGCATTGTGAAGATTAGTGCTTCTGATGATACTAAAGATATTAAGACAACCTCAACTTGTGCTTCAAATCATAAAATAAACAATGTTGGCAGCAACAAAGAATGTGTGGTCAATCATGATACAGTTAAATGTAATAGCCTGGAAAAAGATTTATCAAATAATTCGGTTGATCTGCAAGACTCTTCAGAATCTCTCAAGTCTGAAAATTTGGACATATTAGGAAGTGAGTCAAGTTCGATAACGACATCTCCCGATCAAAACGAGATAAGTGCAATCAGTGAAAAAGAAGTGGTACTGCGTCGACAATCTGATAAAAAGCTTAAACCGATATCGAATGCTGAATTAAGTGATGACTCTTCAGATGAGGACTCAGGTTTGTACATAATTACTTATTTATTATTTCCGTTTTGTCATGAAATAAAACCTTAACTTTTTTCTTTATTGTGGTATAAGACATTATTTTCCTTCCCAAATTGTTAATCTTGCATTGTCATTTTACTTGCAACCTTCTGTCAGCATCCAAATATTTAACAAAATACACACCTCCTCAGCTCAGAGAAGGCTGTGTTATTTGTGATCTAACGAGAATAAGACTCCAAGAGATAAATGGATGTTGTCCAGGCATACTTCCATCATATTAGGCAGTATCCAATTCTAAAAAACGAACCTGTCCTTCTCAGCTCAGAGAACTGTAGCATCCTGGCTCGGAGAAAGCTGTGATAAATGGTCTCTTGAAAGAAGAGTTGACTGGAAGTTGTCCTGGCTTCCTTCACAGAGAAGGCTGTGTTCATTGTGATCTAACGAGAATAATAAATGGATGTTGTCCTGGCATCCTACCATCATATTCTGGCAGCATCTAATTCTAAAAAACAACCCTGTCCTTCTCAGCTCAGAGAAGGCTGTGTTACTACATCATGGACGCTTGGAATAATAAAGTTTCGAATGGACCTTATAAAGAAAAACAGTCTTCTCAGTTCAGAGAAGGCTATGTTACTTGGAATCCAGCCAATTTAAACTATGGCATCTCTGCTCAGAGAAAACTGTAGTAAATGGTCTCTTGGAAGAAGAATTGAATGGAAGTTGTCCTGACTTCTACACTCTTTTTCCTAATTTAAACAACCACAGCATCTCAGCTCAGAGATGATTGTGTGTGGTACATGGAATCCTTCCATCAGCATCTAAAATTAGAAAAATAAAGCCACCTTCTCAGCTCAGAGAAGACTGTGGGTACTTGGAATATTGCAAGAATCGACAAAAGTTCTTTTTTAATTGTGATATAAAAAAACCTTCCTCTGTCTATTTTACACAACCAAAGCATCTCAGGTCAGAGAAAACCTTAATTATTTAGAATAATAAAAGCTTAATAGATGTTGTCCTGACATTATTCCACCAGAATCCAAATTGTGGTAAATAACACACTTCATCTCAGCTCCGAGATGGCTGTGTTAATTGTTATCTAGTCAGAAAAGGAGGTGAATGGATATTGTCTTGGCATCCTACCATCATGTTTATGCAGCATCCAAAGCTACATGTATATATTAAAAATAAAAATCTACTCAGCTCAGAGAGGGCCATATTAATAATTGGATGCTTTGGATAATAAAGTGGATGGATGATGTTTTGACAATCATTTCTCCAGGATCCAAATTTGGGTAAGAAAAAAAAAACCAACAACCCCACCTCATTTCAGCTCAGAGAAGGCTGCGTTATTTGTGATCTAGTCATAATAAGAAAAGAGTGGATGTTGTCCTGGCATCCTATCATCATATATTGACAACATCTAATTCTAAAAACAAACCACTGCTTTTCAGCTCAGAGAAGGCTGTGTTACTACATGGACACTTGGAATATTACATGTTTTTGATGGACATTAAAACGGAAAACCTAGTCTAATTCTAAAAACAAACCTTTGCTTCTCAGTTCAGAGAAGGCTGTGTTACTACTTGGATGCTTAGAATAATAAAGTTTGTACATACATTCTTCGATTGGGATCCAAATTTTGCATCTTTACATCAGCATCTGAAATTAGAAAAAAAAACCCACCCCATTTCAGCCCAGAGAAGGCTGTGTTAATTGTTATTTAGTCAGAAATAAAGATGAATGGATGTTGTCATGTATCCTGCAATCACATTTTGTGCAGCATCTAAAGCTACATGTATATTAAAAATATAAACCCTTCTCAGCTCAGAGAAGTCTGTACCGTATTACTAATTGAAATGAACGCTTGGAATAATAAAGTGGGTGGATGATGTTCTGGCATATTCCTCCAGGATCCAAATTTTGGTAAATAAAACCCTCCCACCTCATTACAGCTCAGAGAAGGCTGTGTTAATTGTGATTTAGTCAGAATAAGAAATGAATGGATATTGTCCTGGCATCCTACCATCATATACCGGCAGCATCTAATTATAAAAAAAAAAACAGTCCTTCTCAGTCCAGAGAAGGCTGTGTTACGATTGGAATAATAAAGTTCTGAATGGACCAGAAAAATGAAAGCCCAGTCTTCACAGCTCTGAGATGACTGTGTTAATTGTAGTTCAGCTAAAATAAAAGATGAATGCATGTTGTCCTGGCATCCTACCATCATATTCCAGCAGCATCCCTTTCTAAAAAAACTTCTCAGCTCAGAGAAGGCTGTGTTACTACTTGGATGCTTGGAATAATAAAAATACAGACATCATTCCACCAGAATCCAAATTTTGCTATAAAAACCCCCAAAACCTACCCTCCTCAGCTCAGAGATGGCTGTGTTATTTATTGTTATTGAGTCAGGAATAGAGGTGAATGGATGTTGTCCTGACTTCTTACCATCATATTCCAGCAGCCTCCAATTCTAAAATAACAAACCTGTCCTTCTCAGCTCAGAGAAGGCTGTGTTACTACATACGGTAGTGCTTGGACATACTTGGACGCTTGGAATAATAAAGTTCTAAATGGACCGTAAAAAGGAAAATCCAGTCTTCTCAGCTCAGAGAAGGCTTTGTTACTTGGAATCCAGCCAATTTAAATAACTCTAGTATCCTGGCTCAGAGAAAACTGGTAAATGGTCTCTTGAAAAAAGACTTGAATGGAAGTTGTCCTGGCTTCTTTGACTTTTTTTCCTAATTTAAACAACCAAAGCATCTCAGCTATATGTGGGCTCTTGGAGGAATAAACAACTATATCAGCATCTGAAATTAGAAAAATATAGCCACCTTTTCAGATCAGGGAAGACTGGGTACTTGGAATATTGCAAGAATTAGCAAAAGTTCTTTTTTAATTGTGATCTATTCCAGTCATATCAAAATTTTAGAAAAGAAACCTTCCTCTAACTCTCTTTTTTACACAACCAAAGCATCTCAGATCAGAGAAAACCTTAATTATTTAGAATAATAAAAGCTTAATGGATGTTGTCCTGACATCATTCCACCAAAATCCAAATTGTGGTAAATAAAACACTACATCTCAGCTCTGATATGGCTGTGTTAATTGTTATCTAGTCAGAAAAGGAGGTGAATGGATGTTGTCCTGGCATTCTACCATCATGTTTGTGCAGCATCCAAAGCTACATGTATATATTAAAAGTAAAAACCTTCTCAGCTCAGAGAAGGCCATATTGCTAATTGGAAGCTTGGAATAATAAAGTGGATGGATGTTGTTCTGACATCATTCCTCCAGGATCCAGATTTTGGTCCCCGCCTCCTCCCATTTCAGCCCAGAGAAGTCTGTGTTAATTGTTATTTAGTCAGAAATAAAGATGAATGGATGTTGTCCTTGTATCCTGCCATCACATTTGTGGAGCATCTAAAGCTTCATGGATATTAAAAATAAAAACCTCATCTCAGACTGTATTACTAATTGGACGCTTGGAATAATAAAGGGGATGGATGATGTGCTGACGTATTCCTCCAGGATCCAAATTTTGGTAATACAGAAAACCCACCTCATTTCAGCCCAGAGAAAGCTGTGTTATTTGTGATCTCGTCATAATAAGAAATGAATGGATGTTGTCCTGGCATCCTGCCATATATACTGGCAGCATTTAATTCTAAAAAACAAACAACCTGTCCTTCTCAGTCCAGAGAAGGCTGTGTTACGAATGGAATAATAAATTTATGAATGGACCGGAAAAATGAAAGCCCAGTCTTCACAGCTCGGAGATGACTGTGTTAATTGTAGTTTAGCTAGAATAAAAGATGAATGCATGTTGTCCTGGCATCCTACCATCATATTCCAGTAGCATCCCTTTCTAAAAAACCTTCTCAGCTCAGAGAAGGCTGTATTACTACTTGGATGCTTGGAATAATAAAAATACAGACATCATTCCACCAGAATCCAAATTTTGCTATAAAAAAACCCCAAAAACTACCCTCCTCAGCTCAGAGATGGCTGTGTTATTTATTGTTATTGAGTCAGGAATAGAGGTGAATGGATGTTGTCCTGACTTCTTACCATCATATTCCAGCAGCCTCCAATTCTAAAAAAACAAACCTGTCCTTCTCAGCTCAGAGAAGGCTGTGTTACTACGTACGGTAATACTTGGACATACTTGGACGCTTGGAATAATAAAGTTCTAAATGGACCGTAAAAAGGAAAATCCAGTCTTCTCAGCTCAATGAAGGCTTTGTTACTTGGAATCCAGCCAATTTAAATAACTCTAGTATCCTGGCTCAGAGAAAACTGGTAAATGGTCTCTTGAAAAAAGACTTGAATGGAAGTTGTCCTGGCTTCTTTGACTTTTTTCCCTAATTTAAACAACCAAAGCATCTCAGCTATATGTGGGCTCTTGGAGGAATAAACAACTATATCAGCATCTGAAATTAGAAAAATATAGCCACCTTTTCAGATCAGGGAAGACTGGGTACTTGGAATATTGCAAGAATTAGCAAAAGTTCTTTTTTAATTGTGATCTATTCCAGTCATATCAAAATTTTAGAAAAGAAACTTTCCTCTATCTCTCTATTTTGCACAACCAATGCATCTCAGGTCAGAGAAAACCTTAATTATTTAGAATAATAAAAGCTTAATGGATGTTGTCCTGACATTATTCCACCAGAATCCAAATTGTGGTAAATAAAACACTACATCTCAGCTCTGATATGGCTGTGTTAATTGTTATCTAGTCAGAAAAGGAGGTGAATGGATGTTGTCCTGGCATCCTACCATCATGTTTGTGCAGCATCCAAAGCTACATGTATATATTAAAAGTAAAAACCTTCTCAGCTCAGAGAAGGCCATATTGCTAATTGGAAGCTTGGAATAATAAAGTGGATGGATGTTGTTCTGACATCATTCCTCCAGGATCCAGATTTTGGTCCCCGCCTCCTCCCATTTCAGCCCAGAGAAGTCTGTGTTAATTGTTATTTAGTCAGAAATAAAGATGAATGGATGTTG